TTTTCTGACTGAAAAATTAGCATTATGGGGCTACTCCTAAATAATATAATATTTTATCTGATGAATTCTTTCTTTCCTGCTTCTCTTAATGCAATACACAGTAAATAGCCGAAAATACCATATACTAAATGCCAATTTTAACTTTTTTACTTTGTAGAGATTTGTGTTTCTGTTAAGCATCCATGAGATTTTATTTTATTTTAATTTTTTTAAGTGGAAGACATCAGAATTTTAATAATCATTTTAGGTAAGTGTGTACTTTATTTTTGACACTGCACAAAACTCAAAACATCGTTGTTTTTCAAAGTTAAGTTGCAATCTGAACTTGAAATTATATCAGTGAACTTTATATTCTGTTAGTTTGAAATCCATTTTTCTCTCTGCAACTTTGAATCAGTCTTTATCCATGCATAATTTTGAAACCTCATTCATTGGTTATTTGGAAAATCAAGTTGTGAGAGTTACAAAGATCTTTTGAATGTCAACACATTTCATTAAACAATATCAAAAAATCGATTTATCAGTGTCACCAGCAATCTCGTCAGAAAAAGCCTTTGAATAATAGCAGTCACATAAAAGTCCCTTGAAATTATAATCTTATGGGTTCAAATTTTATTATTAGCCAGTTTTCCCAGCACCATTTAACATGGGAAGTTGTTTTTCCTGAAGTGATGGGCTTACTTTGTTATTTTTAAGCAAGCAAAAAATACTTGTTTGAATATCTATAATTTGCTTATCAGTTATTTTTTCAAGTAGAAATGGAAAAAGCAGCTGATTCATTTGCATCTAAAAAACAAGGGCTGTGCCCTGGTAAAAACCATCATATTTTAGTATTTAGCAGAAATGGTTTATAAATTCCCTTCTCTTTCCACCGAATATTAAAAACGTGTACCCAAGGAGTGAGGTTTGGTTTTGTTTTTGGTTTTTGTATTAAACATGCTAGATAATGTGTCTTTTTATTATTGTTATTTTAGTTTAATTTATGGAATACATGTGCTGAACGTGCAGGTTTGTTACATACATATAGGTGTGCCATGATGGTTTACTGCACCCATCAACCCGTCATCTAGGTTTTAAGGCCTGCATGTGTTAGGTATTTGTCCTAATGCTCTCCCTCCCCTTGCCCCCAACAGGCCCCAGTGTGTGATGTTCTCCTCCCTGTGTCCATGTGTTCTCATTGTTCAACTCCCACTTAGGAGTGAGAGCATGTGCTGTTTGGTTTTCTGTTCCTGTCTTAGTTTGTTGAGGATGGTGGTTTCCAGAATCATTCATGTCCCTGCAAAGGACATGAATTCATTCTTTTTTATGGCTGCATAGTATTCCATGGTGTATATGTGCCACCCTTTCTTTATCCAGTCTATCACTGGTGGCCATTTGGGTTGGTTTCAAGTCTTCATTATTGTAAATAGTGCTCCAGTAAACATATGTTACGTGTGCATGTGTCTTTATAGTAGAATGATTTATAATCCTTTGAGTATATAATCCTTTGAGTATAAAGGATTATGGAATTGCTGGATCAAACAGTATTTCTGGTTCTAGATCCTTGAGGCATCGCCACACCATCTTCCACAATGATTGAACTAATTTACACTCCCAACAACAGTGTAAAAGTATTCCCATTTCTCCACAGCCTCACCAGCATCTGTTGTTTCTAGACTTTTTAATGATCGCCATTCTAACTGGCGTGAGATGGTATTTCATTGTGGTTTTGATTTGCATTTTTCTAATGACCAGTAATAATGAGTTTTTTTTCATATGTTGGCCTCATAAATATCTTTTGAGAAGTGTCTGTTCATATCCTTCACCCACTTTTTGATGGGGTTGGTTTTTTCTTCTAAGTTGCTTGTAGATTCTGCATATCAGACCTTTGTCAGAAGGGTAGATTGCAAAAATGTTCTCCCACTCTGATGATAGCTTTTTTTGCTGAGCAGAAGCTCTTTAGTTTAATTAGATCCCATTTGTCAATTTTGGCTTTTGTTGCAGTTGCTTTTGGTGTTTTAGTCATGAAGTCTTTGCCCATGCCTATGTCCTGAATGGTATTCCCTAGGTTTTCTTCTCGGGTTTTTATGGTTTTAGGTTTTATGTGTAAGTCTTTAATCCATCTTGAGTTAATTTTTGTATAAGATATAGGGAAGGGGTCCAATTTCTGTTTTCTGTGTATGGCTAGCTGGTTTTCCCAGCGCCGTTTATTAAATAGGGAATCCTCTCCCCATTGCTTGTTTTTGTCAGGTTTGTTGAATATTAAATGGTTGTAGATATGTGGTGTTATTTCTGAGGCCTCTGTTCTGTTCCATTGGTCTATATATCTGTTTTGGTACCAGTAGCATGCTATTTTGGTTACTGTAGCCTTGTAGTGTAGTTTGAAGTCAGACAGCGTGATGCCTCCAGTTTTGTTCTTTTTGCTGAGGATTGTCTTGGCAATACAGGCTCTTTTTTGGTTCCATATGAAATTTAAAGTATTATTTTCTAGTTTTGTGAAGAAAGTTAATGGTAGCTTAATGGTAATAGCATTGAATCTATAAGCACTTAGGGCAATATGGCCATTTTCACAATATTGATTCTTCCTATCCAGGAGCATGGATTTTTTTTTTTTCTATTTGTTTGTGCCCTCTTTTATTAGTAAGGATTTTTTATCAGCAGACATGATTATATCTGTGATTTGTAAAGTCAGCTGTGTAGTGAACTAGCCCAGTGGGCAGGCTATTAAAATAATTCAGAGGAAAAATGAGAACAGCAACAGTGGTGATAGAGAAGAGATTTTAAAAAAATCTTTTTTTCTCTCTGGGGATGTTAAATATTTTTGAAGAAAGGGAGTAATAATTGTAACTTGCAAATGTGTTTTGCCCTACCTAGTTAAAACT